CCCCAAAACCCCAAAACCCCAAAACCCCAAAACCCCAAAACCCCATTCCTCATGGAGATAATTGAATATTTTTATAATGAAAGAGACCTCTTCTAATCGATCTATTTTTGATGATATTCTACTAAGAAATATCCATAATTCTGGGTTTCAGACAATAAATAGTACATATACACCCGACCTCAGTCCTGAAAATTTGTGAAAATAATAAGAACCGGAAGAACGATAATAAATTCATTCGTAATTTTGTCGAGGTGAGCTGTTAAAATGATCATTTAAAGCCACAACCCTGGCAATGTACTTACTTCTGTAGGTAGACCAAGTTTCATCTCCAATATTCTGTCCTTCGCTGCCAAGGCAAGCGAGAAGCAGAGAGAGTCCTAATAACAAAAGTAGGAACCGACCATCTGAGTTTACTAAATATTTGTCCATGATTAATGATAAAGAGTCTCGGCAGGTATTTTCTTATTTCTCGAACTATTTAGGATAGGTTTTATCCAATCAAAGTTTCCAGGAAGCCCAGAGATATCCAAAACAGGATCACTAAAAACCCTCGAAACATTGCACCCCTTGAAAATGTATCGAAGCTAAGCAAATATAATAAATTAACACAAAATTTGGAAGATAAGAACAAGAGCATTTGGTACAAGACCCAGTATAATTCCAAATTCAACTGAACTACAACCAATAAAGTAAGCTTCTAAGCGAATCTGACTCATAGGATTCAAACTGGATTAAGAAGATCATTAAGGCTAAAAGTATTGACGAAATCAGAGAATCTAGCTCCTTCGTAGGCCCAATAATCTCCAAGAAGAACCCTTTTTACAAAAGAAAACATCGAATTAAGGGTAAATATAAAGCTCCTCTAAGCCGCACGAAGGGCTTCAAAAAGGCATATACTGAGAAAGAGTTATTCGAAATCACTGGGAAGAACTTAGGCTATGATCTTGCCCCACCTCCTCAAATTCAGAAGTAAGCTATGCATTACTTTATCTCTAGAGACTTTGACATGGCACAACTGAAGGTTAAATAGCTCTTTAAGCTGCCCTAAAAAGAAGAAAGAGACTATAAAAACTGTTATAAACATCCCGAAGTTCTATAAAAAGAAAAATATGGAATTCTGAATGGATAACTTCAAGAATTTGGTCAATGTCAAGATTGCCAAAACCAACTTTCTCGATAAGCTCAAGAGTAAATAAAATAAAAGACTTCCTCCAAAAATCTCAGAAGTTATCCATGATTTTTGAGGAAGTGTCACGCAAGAGCAAAGAGGATAAAGCTAAGGAAGGGAGTGCCAAACAAAACTCTGAAATGCATCCTAATCTTGCGATTTCAGCTGACTCATCAGGGTTTAACTTTACTAAAGAGAAACACCAGAATGCTGAAAATTTAAAGATCAATATCCAAGATGATAACACAAAAGCCCCTAAAGCACATGAGCTTAACAAAGATTTAGAAATCATGAGAGCCTCACCCAAAGACGCTACTATTGAGGGGTATGAAAATAGCTTTAAAATATAGGGGCAGAGAGAACAAATTCTATATGAACTACCAAGGAATCCAGCCTTTCATTGTGATGATTAACCACTCGCCTCTAGGCACTCATGATGGCAAGCCCATTGGTAACAGTAATTGAGCATGTATAGATGTACGAGAGAAAAGTAATATGAACCCAAAGATCAAAAGCCGATGAAAATGAGTAGATCCAGACATGTGTATCTGTAAAATGAAGCAAAAATAGAGCATTAGATAATGTCCCTAAATCTAAAGAGCACAGGAAAGTGCTTGCACTCAAAAAGCCTGAATTAACAGTGCCTCAGTGAGAATGTCCAAGAATCTCTACCCCACATTCATTAAAAGGGAAGAAGCTGAATAGAGATAAAGTAATGAACATGAGGAATTCTCATCAGAAGATGAACTCCTTTACTTCCCAAAATAGTTATCGAAAGCGTAATTATCCTTTGTAACCCATAGCAAAAGGAGTGAGTTTCCAAGATCTGTTCCCAGTCCAGTTCTCTTCAGAGAAGGATGCAGATTTCAAGAAAATCAAGGAAAGAACAGAGAAGTTATTGTTGCCAACAGAACTTAACTTATAGAAACTTTCGAACATATTTTCAATCAAAAATCTGAATATTGGGGTTTTGGGGTTTTGGGGTTTTGGGGTTTTGGGG